CAGAAAAGTAAAATTTTTTTTTTTTTTTGGAGGGGTTTTCGCTATAGGGCGCGTGCACTCGCCAGACAGACAGAGACATAGAGACAGAAAGCGAGAAATCACCCCCCAGGGGGGATGGTCACGCCGCAATCCCTTCTCCTCCATTCTCCACTCGGGATCTTGGGCACGCACGCACACGCGCCCGGCGTGAGATTTAAGCCACTGGGTCCGAGACGCGAACCGCGGTCGACTACGTGGGAGTCCAGTGACATAGCCATTACACTAACTGCTGGTTCCCAGTAAAATTTTTGATACCAAGTGCTCATTCATTTTTTTCTCTCCTAATATACGCAGGTAGAGGCCTTTAATTTTTAGTATTTCTTCTACTACACTCCATGCATATAAAGCTATAAATGATCCATCAAGTATTATATTGGCTGTACTGCTAAGTTTTCATTTATAGTCTTTTAATGATCATTCAGCTCTGTCTTATTTTCTGTTTTTCATTATTTGTATGTCAGAACTTTTCATATTTACATCTCTTCTATTTTCACTTAAAGAGTTTTTCAGAAAGGAGTTACCCATCCATAGTGACCTGTTTATTATAAAACTTCAGATTTAACTTCCAGATCTGTTACTCAGCTCTTGGAATAATAGCTTATAAAGAAAGATCTCCCATCATACAAAAGAATGAAATGAATTTGAATTTGATATTTAGTCCTTACCGTTTTTTAATTTGTCCATCTACACCATTGTTCAAGTGGCACTAGAGAGACTAATGAGATCGAAGGCTATGTCCTAGACTTGCTCCTTTTCCTCACGGGCTGGCTTTCCCCCTCACTTCTGAAAGTTGTGCTCTCTACTCCCTATTCTCAGGGACCACGGGATCATCCGAACTCTGGATTTACCTATCTATGTCACACGAGTGAAGGGCAACAACGTGTACTGTCTAGACAGGGAGTGTCGTCCTCGAGTCCTCACCATCGATCCCACCGAGTTCAAATTCAAGCTGGCCTTAATCAACAGGAAGTATGACGAGGTATGAGTGAGGGAGCACGGTAGGCACTCAGAAGGGCAGCACTCTTTTTCTCTCTCCATGACCTCTCCTTCCTGCCCTGTCCACCCCAAACATCTAGGTGTTGCACATGGTGAGGAATGCCAAGCTGGTCGGCCAGTCCATCATTGCCTACCTCCAGAAGAAGGGCTATCCTGAGGTGGCACTGCACTTTGTCAAGGATGAGAAAACTCGCTTTAGTCTGGCATTGGAGTGCGGAAACATTGAGGTGAGAGGGACGGGGCCATCGGCCTTATGTCATTTTAGACAAGTGGGAGGGTTAGGGTGGCATTGGGAAGGTATGCTGTTCTGGGCTGCCTTCTTTAGCCAGAATACTGAAATTTGGGATTTTTCCAGTTGTAAGATTGAGCCATATTTCTATTGCTGTTTACCCGTCTCTGCTTTTTCTTGTCTCTGCTGCTTCTAATATTCCCTTAATATTGTCATTTCTTCAAATACTGTCATTCTCCATCTGCATTTAAGAATGTCTTTTTTTTTTTTTTTTGAGAGATTTTCACTGTAGGGCGCGTGCGCTCGCCAGACAGACAGAGAGAGACATAGAGACAGAAAGTGAGAAATCACCCCCCAGAGGGGATGGTCACGCCGCAATCCCTTCTCCTCCATTCTCCTCTCGGGATCTTGGGCATGCACGCACACGCGCCCGGCGTGAGTTTTAAGCCACCGGGTCCGGGACACGAACCGCAGTTGACTACGTGGGAATCCAGCGACATAGCTATTACACTAACTGCTGGTTCCCAGAATTTAAGAATGTCTTAAGGATTAAAAAAAAAAAAGAAGAATGTCTTAAGAGCAAGATAGCATGGAATTTGAAAAATATCTCATTATTTCCTTGACACTTGGTCTTACTGTCTGGCTACTTAGATGAGGGGGTACTTAGTAAACATTGAGCCCCCATAGTGTACAGCACTATTTTCAAAAGTAAAAAGGACTTAGAAAAATTGTATTTCTGGGGGACCAGCTGGTGGCGTGGTGGTTAGGGCTATGGACACTCCCACGTGGCCGACCGTGGTTTGAGTCCCGGATCTGGCAGCTTGCTTTCTCCCACTTTACCTCTACACGTGTGCTCTCTCTCTCTCTGTCTCTTTCTGGTGAAATTAAAATAAATGAATGACTAAATAAAATTGAATAAATAATTCTTTAAAAAATAAGAAAAATTGTATTTCTGGTTCTACACTTTCTTCTTTTATTATTTCTTCTGTTTTTTTCTAAAGCCTCTGTGAATCTTCAAACCCCACTAAACAAAAATTGATCTTAAAGAACCAGCAACTTCTAGATGATTTTGTTGTAAAAGTAAACGTCTGAGGAGGATAATGTGATGATACTTTTCCACCAGTGGATCCAAAGGGCTCCTATTTGTTGATAGGCCCTTCCCTAGAATTAGACTGAAAGCTAAGAGGGATTGCAATTGTAGGGCGCCCCTTCGGGTGTGTATTTAGAGGCAGATACTTTGGCTGCAGGGTCCCTAGTTTTGAGTCACAGTGTCCTCCAACCTGTTAGCACTGACTCTGGAATTCTTTAGATTGCTCTGGAAGCAGCCAAAGCCCTGGATGACAAGAACTGCTGGGAAAAGCTGGGAGAAGTGGCCCTGCTACAGGGGAACCACCAGATTGTGGAAATGTGCTATCAACGCACCAAAAACTTTGATAAACTTTCCTTTCTGTACCTAATCACTGGAAACCTGGAGAAACTTCGAAAGATGATGAAGATTGGTAAGACCCTGAAGCTGAGGAGGGGAGGCAGGGTCTGGGGAGAAGGGAAGGCTTATAGAGGAGAGAGAACTTCAGTGGGCTCTAACAGGGTGTCTCTTACTGACTTGGTGCAGCGGAGATACGGAAGGACATGAGTGGCCACTATCAGAATGCCCTGTACCTGGGTGATGTGTCGGAGCGGGTGCGGATCCTGAAGAACTGTGGGCAGAGTGAGTAGCCTGCACTCACCAGATCTTTGTGTCATCCGTGTATAGTGGTGATGGATTTCCCTTTAGTGTGCAATTTTTCAGAAGAAAGAACACAGTTATATCATGCTCAGAAGATTTTCTTCAAAGACCATTGAAGGTATAGCTAGAATATTCAGTCCGAAAAGCACCCTTAGGAAAACAGTTGTGTGCAAGATAGGAATTTTGGGTTTTACCACAGGACATGTGCACTTGCCAGAGAGCGAGAGTAAAAGGGAAAGCGAGAAAGCACCCCCAAAGGGGGATGGCTATACTGCAGTTCCTTCATTCTCCTCTTGGGGTTTTGGCCACACATGCATACATACTGGCGTGATTTTCAGGCCACCAGCTCTAGAACTGTAGTTGGCCATGTGGGAATCCAATGCCTTAACAACCAGGCTACCTGCCGGCCCCTAGAGGAGGTTTTAAAAGTCCTGCAACACAAGGACCAGCAGTTAGCGTAATGGCTGTCGCTGGACTCCCACGTAGTCTACCGTGGTTTGAGTCCCGGACTTGGCGGCTTAAAATCACGCCGGGCATGTGTGCCCAAGATCCTGAGAAGAGAATGGAGGAGAAAGGATTGTGGCGTGGCCATCCCCCCTAGGGGGTGATTTCTCGCTTTCTGTCTCTGTCTTTCTGGTGAACGCATGCGCCCTATAGCAAAATCCTTTCCAAAAAAAAAAAAGTCTTGCAACACATACCCTAGTAAATGTGGTTGATTGGATGTCACTAGAATTTTTATGTTTTTTTTTTAAGGAATTATTTTATTTATTTAACTTTAGTTATTTACTTATCTTAATTTGACCAGAGAGGGACAGAGCATGAGAGAGAGAGAAAGAATGAGAAAACAAGCTACCAGGTCCAGGACTCAAACCGCCATCAACCATATGGGAGTCTAGCACCCTTAACCACCACACCACGTGCCGGCTCCTGCCATTAGAATCTTATTTCTTTACTTTCAATCTGAAGGTTTCACTCATATTTTTCATGTATACATTTGAGGGAGTTTTTTTGTTTGTTTGTTTGGGAGAGGTTTTTGCTATAGGCCACATGTGCTCGCCAGAAAGACAGAGACAAAGAGACAGAAAGTGAGAAGTCACCCCCCGGCGGCGTGGCCACACCGCAGTTCCTTCTCCTTCATTCTCCTCTCAGGATCTTGGGCACGCACATTCTCCTCTCGGGATCTTGGGCACGCATGCATACACGCCTGGTGTGAGTTTAAGTTGAACCATGTTCAACTCCATGGGAGTCCAGCAACATAGCCATTATGCTAACTGCTGGTCCCCTTCATTGTTTCTAAGATTTGTTTCACATAAGAATGAGAGATACACAGACGATTTACTAGGTTCCTTCACACCGCACTCTCCCTCCCAGCCAGCCAGGATCACAGGAACCTGGGGGTGTAGCCAGCGTACTCAGGTCTACTCCAGACCCAAAGTTGGGCCTCCCATGTAGCTCTAGTGTGTGCAGTGATGTCCTACCACTTGCACCGTTGTGTCTGGGCCTCAGTGGGTATTTTCTCTTTAAACTTATTGTATACCAAGGAATGTAGTAGCATTTGTGGTGTACTAGAAACCGGAAGGTGAAAGATGTGGTTTGGACTAATGTACTAGTAGTGGAGGAATGAGGAGGGGTCAGGTCTGGGATTTGTCTTGAAGGTGGAAAAGATCTCGAGAAAAAAATCCCAAGAGTTGGCTCCTAAGGGTCAATAAGTAATTATCAAAGTATGGGATATGGGATGAGAAAAAAAGGAATCAGGGATGATGTTACATTCTCATTACACTGATAATTTTTTTTTTTGCTATTTTTTTTGTTTGTTTGTTTGCTTGTTTTTAGAGCAAGATCTTTGTTATAGAAAGTGTGCACTTGTTAGAGAGAAAAACAGAGACAGAAAGTGAGAAATCACCCCCTAGGGGGATGGCCATGCCATAATCCCTTCTCCTTCATTCTCCTCTTGTGATCTTGGGCACACATGCACACGTGCCCAGTGTGAATTTTAAGCCACTGGGTCTGGGACTTGAACCACGATTGACTATGTGGGAGTTCAGTGATGTAACCATTATGCCATCTGCTGGTCTCTGGTGATAGATCTTAAAAGTAAGCAACTGTAGAGGTTGGCAGGTGGCATAGTGGGTGAGGGCTCTGGGTTCCCACATGGCCGACTGTAGTTCGAGTCCTGAACCTGACAGCTTGCTTTCTCACTTTCTCTCTTTCTCTCTCCCTCCCTCCCTCCTTCCCTCCCTCCCTCCCTTCCTCCCTCTCTCTCTTTTTTTTTCTCTCTCTCCTACACACACACACACACACACACACACACACACACACACACATATACATATACACATACACACTGCCCTTCTCTGGTCAACTAGATAAATAAATAAAATAAATTAAAATAAATAAATAAAGTTAAATAAAAAATAATTCTTAAAAAGAAAAAAGTAAGCAACTGTAGGGCCAGCTGGTGGCGTGGAGGTTAAGGTACATGGATCTCACGTGGCCAACCACATGGTTTGAGTTCTGGAGAAACATGGTGGGCGTGTGTGCATGCCCATACGTTGACCCCAAATCCTAAGAAGAGAATGGAAGAGACGGCTTTGTGGCATGACCACTCCCCTGAAGGGATGATTTCTCTTCCTCTCTCTTTCTCCAATGAGTATGTGTGCTCTATAGCAAACTGGAAAAAAAAAAAGTAGGGACCAGCAGTTAGCGTAATGGCTATGTCGCTGAACTCCCACGTAGTCAACTGCGGTTCAAGTCCCGGACCCAGTGGCTTAAAACTCACGCTGGGCGCGTGTGCGTGCCCAAGATCCCGAGAGTAGAATGGAGGAGAAGCGATTGCGGCGTGACCATCCTCCCTGGGGGGTGATTTCTTGCTTTCTGTCTCTCTGTCTCTCTCTGTCTGTCTGGCGAGCGCACGTGCCCTATAGCAAAAACCTCTCCAAAAAAAAAAAAAACGTAAAGAAGTCTAAGTTCATCTATTGTTGTATAACAAATTATTCCAAAACTTAGTGGTTCAAAGCATACCATTTATCCCACAATCTGGGGCTCAGCTTAGCTTGGTGCCTCTAGCTCGGGGTTTCTCCTTGTTGCTGGCCGGGGCTGCAGACATCTTAAGGCTCTGTAGGGGATGAAGGCGCGTCCACACTCACTCACATGGCTCTTGGCAGTCCTCAGATCCTCGCTTCCAGTTGTCAGGAAACATCAGTTTCTTGGGGTGTTGGGTTCTCCACAGGACAGTTCACGATATGGCAGGTGGTTTGTCTCTGAGCAAGTGAAAAAGAGGGCACCCAAGGGAGCACCCACAGGCTTTGTAGCCTAATCTCAGAGTGTCATCTGTCATGTCCTGTCCTCTGGAGGCTAGTTAGTGAGTCCAGCCCTCACATAAGGGAAAGATATTCCACAAGGACTTGAATACAAGAGTAGGGGTCAGGGAGAGTCGTCTCAGAGGCACCCCACCACAGTGATGTTCACTCGCAGATGGACCTAGACTTCAGAGTGTTTTTTCCTGCAGAGTCCTTGGCCTATCTCACAGCTGCTACCCATGGCTTAGATGAAGAAGCTGAGAGCCTGAAGGAGACTTTTGACCCAGAGAAGGAAACAGTGAGTCATTATTTTCATGAGTGTCTTGATTGCAGAATTAACTCTGAGATCTTGGGACACCTAAAAAATATAATTGTTGGGACCAGCAATTGGCATAATGGCTATGTTGCTGGACTCCCATGTAGTCAACCATGGTTTGAGTCCGGACCCAGTGACTTAAACTCATGTTGGGTGCTTGTGTGTGTGCCCAAGATCCCAAGTGGAGAAGGGATTGTGGCACGGCCATCCCCTCCAGGGGGTGATTTCTCACTTTCTGTCTCTCTCTCTCTGTCTTGTGGCAAGCGATGCACCCTATAGCAAAAACCTCCCCCACCCCCCCTCCCCCAAAAAAACCAAACCTGTAATTGTCAGGTCGGCAGGTGGCATGGTAGTTAAGGGTGCTTTAAGGGTGCTGGACTCCCACAGGGCTGACCACAGGTCAAGTCCCAGACCTGGCATCTTGCTTTCTTACTATCTCTCTCACTTTCTCTTTCACTCTATGTCCTCTCTAGTCAAATTAAAATAAAAATTAATAAATGAATAAATAAAGTTAAATAAAATAATTGAAAAAAACAACTGTTGGGACCAGCAATTGGCATAAGGGCTGTTGCTGGACTCCCATGTAGTTGACCACGGTTTGAGTCCCAGCCCTGGGGGCTTAAACTCACACTGAGTGTGTGTGCATGCATGCCCAAAATCCCGAGAGGAGGATGGAGGAGAAGGAATTGCGGCGTGGCCATCCCCCCTGGAGGGTGATTTCTCGCTTTCTATCTCTCTGTGTCTCTCTGTCTTTCTGGTGAGCGCACGTGCCCTATAGCAAAAACCTCTCTGGAAAAAAAAAAGAAAAAAAAAAACCCACAACTTTAACTGTCACTCTCCCACATGGTTACCTGGAGAGGCAGAGAAACAGATGAGATCAAAGGAGGCCCCATATCCTTCCCTGTCTGATTCCTGAAAGCCATTTGCCTTTAAGCCCTCTTCTTCCCCCTCCTTTCAGATCCCAGACATTGACCCTAATGCCAAGCTACTCCAGCCACCTGCTCCCATTATGCCACTGGACACCAACTGGCCCTTACTAACTGTGTCCAAAGGGTTCTTTGAAGGCTCCATTGCCAGCAAGGGTAAGTGTGCGCTTCTGCCGTGGCAGTTCTGTGAGTTTGGGAAGACCTGTCCTAGGAGTACTATTAGCACTTAGTTTTATCTCTTCTTTTTTCTGTGAGAAGCTCAGGTTGCACTAAAATGTCAGTCAGCCACGGTACAATCTGAAAAACTGAGTAAAAGCATTTCGAGATCATTAAAGATAATTTAGAAAATGGGGGAAAAGATGGATGCCTCTACTACCACCAATAACCTCTGTTAATATTTTGATGTATTTCCTTAGGATTTGCTAAACAGGTAGTCCTTTCCTCTGTTCAGTGTTTAGCTGTGCATGTCATACAGTTGTCAGGTTCAAATTAGCTACTGCTAACTCTGGGGGTTGGTACCTGCACCCATCCTGTGCTGCTCCCACCTTTTGTGTGATCTTGGATCTGTCTGCTAGTTCACTGCTTTGGGGTAAGAGCCTGAACAGACCCTGGCAGTCTGTGCCCAGCCGTGCTCTGTCCTCAATCTCTTGCACCTGCCCTCTGTCCCCATGCCCTGCTCACTCTGCAGTGGTAGTGGCTTGGAAGAAATCTCAAGATTGGCTCCCAAAGGTCAATAAGTAAGACATAGTTAAGAGCCAGTTTTGGTAGCAAAGACTAGGTGTTTCTGTCTTTTTTGTTCCCTCAGTGTTAAACTTAGTGCAGGTGGCATCACATACATACCACAGAAATAAGTAGAAAGGCCTACGTGGGCAGCATCTGCACCTGCGTTTGAAAGGCTGTAACTGGCCAGCAGAAAAGGCCTATCTCACATTGTTGGGCTTTCACCAGCTCTTTCTGTTACTTCCTCCACAGGGAAGGGAGGAGCCCTGGCAGCTGACATTGACATCGACACTGTTGGTGCCGAGGGCTGGGGAGAGGATGCGGAGCTGCAGCTGGATGAAGGTAAGGTTCTGGGGACCATTCCACAGGCTTCCAGAACCATGGAGCCAACTAGGTGCTGACATTTCGCTTTCCTTTGGCTAAGATTGTGCCATCAGTTCTATTTTGAGCCTGAATTTTTCTTACAGATGGGTTTGTGGAGACTACAGAAGGTTTGGGGGATGATGTTCTTGGCAAAGGACAGGAAGAAGGAGGTGGCTGGGACGTAGAAGAAGACCTGGAGCTTCCTCCTGAGCTGGTACGTGCAATTTTACCCTTGTAAGGTTCTCTCAATTTCTTCTGGTGGAAGCCAGTGACTTTGTCACCCCTACCCCTGTCCTGGACTCTAAAAGGGAGGGGGCCTAGACCCTCATAATGTGATGCCTGTCTCCCATCCAAAGAAGGAAAAATGAGAGGTTAGTGGCCTTGTCACTTTTTTATCTGCCTGATGGGCCCAGAAAGGAAGGAATCTAGGGCCTGCCTGTAGATGGTGCTTCTCCCCCATTTGAGGAAAGAATGAGGCAATCAGGGTTGTGCCACGAACAGCTTAGGAAAAGGCAGCAAGCTTTTCTGATCTGAAGGTTAGCTGTTGGTATGCCATTTTGTCCCGGTGAGATGGCTCCTATATGGGGAGGTCTTCTCCTTCCCTGTAGACCTGGTAGCTTGCTTTTTCACTGTTTCTCTCTCTCTGTCCCACTCTGGTCAAATTAAAATAAATAAATAAATGTGGAGACAGAGAATAAGGTAAATGGATGTATTTTAAGTGAATCAGGACAAAGTCCTTGTGCAAGAGCTTAAAAATGAGTCACTTTTTCTTTTTCCCCTAGGATGTGCCCCCCGGGGCTGCTGGTGGGGCTGAAGATGGGTTCTTTGTGCCTCCAACCAAGGGGACAAGCCCAGCTCAGGTAAGTGGGAAACAGTCCTGAGGGACTGTATGCTTCTTAGCGGGCTAATAAATTCTTGAGTAGTATGCAAACATGTTGGGTGCTTTCCTGTTACAGATGCAAAAGAGGATTGCGTAGGGAGGAAAAGGGCGAATTTTCACTTGACTTGATTTTCTGTTTTTTGCTAGCTCTGGTGCAATAACTCTCAGCTTCCAGTGGATCACATTCTAGCAGGCTCTTTTGAAACAGCAATGCGTGTAAGTTTTCTTAAAGTAACCTTAAATCTTCCTCTTGCATGTGCCTAGCCCATGGACTCAGGGAGAGAGTAAATGAATGGAAGTGATGCTACCCACAGGGCAGAAGTGTGTTCTTGCTGTGGAAGTGCTTGATCATGCTTAAAGACCCTTGCCTCATAAGGCCTTTCCTCTTTACTTGCCTTTTATTTGGCTGAGTAACCTCTTTTTTGAAGAGACAGATTTTTGCTATCAGGCATGGGCTCTCACTGGAGAAAATGGACAGAAAGCAAGAAATCACCATCCAGGAGGGGTGGCCACACCACTGTTCCTTCCTCTCTATACTCTTCTCAGGATTTTGAGTGCTCACGTACATGCACCCGGCATGAGTTCCAAACTGCAGGTTCCGGGACTCCAACTGCAGTGAGCCCTGTGGGGTCTAGCACCTTAATCACGACACCTGCTGGCTCCAGCAGAGTAATGTCTTAAGATGGATTTTTCTGGCCATCATCATCCCATTTGTAGCCTGCTTCTGGCTTGGTCAGTGAGATTAGCACCCTTTCTTAAACAGGTGCTTCTTTTTTTGAGAGAGATTTTTTGCTATAGGGTGTATGTCCTTTCTAGAGAGACAGACCAAAAGCAAGAAATCACTTCTCCAGGGGGGATGGCCACACCGCAACCCCCTCTCCATCTCCTCCCGGGATTTCTGGCACACGTGCACACGTGCCTGGTGTGTTTCAAGCCACTGGGTCTAGGACTCAAACCACAGTTGACCACATGGGAGTCCAGCACCTTAACCACTATGCCACCTGCTTGCCCAGCAGCTTCATGTTTTGACACTAACCCACGTGTTAACAGCAATAGTAACAACTGCTACACTTATTCAGTGTTCACTGCATGCCAGACACCAACCTAAATACTTCACAAATATTTTAAATGAGGTAGATCTTATAACCAAGTATATTTTATTGATGAGGAAACAAGGACAGAGAAATATCTTGCCCAAGATGATTTTCGTTTAAGCGGCAGGACCCCTGTCCTTATGTGTCTTTCTTTCTGTGTTCCAGCTTCTTCATGACCAGGTAGGAGTAATCCAGTTTGGCCCCTACAAGCCGCTGTTCCTACAGACATATGCACGAGGCCGTACCACATACCAGGCTTTGCCCTGCCTGCCCTCCATGTATGGCTATCCTAACCGCAACTGGTAAGGCCCCTTGCTCCTTGCTCTGTCTGTTCCAGGTTGTGGTAGACATGAGGAATCTTCAAAAACTCATGAAACTAAATAGTGTGAAAAGATGAATTTCAAATGTTACTACACCAAAATAAACTTTTGTTTTAATTCCTTTTTTCCAAGAACTTTTTGAAATTCTTTTATGTATCTTATGAATTATGCATCTATTTCTTTTTTCTTTCTTAGGTTTTTGGTATAGGGCACACATGCCTACTAGAGAATGACAGAGACAGGGAAAGTGAGGACTGATATTTGCCCTGGGGGGGATGGTCTACCACAACCCTTCCTCCATTTTCCTCTCAGGATTTGGGGCACACGTGCATGTGCGCCTGGTGTGGGTACCAGGTCTGGTACTCGAACCGTGGAATCAGCTATGTGGCATACAGCACCTTAACCATCATACTACCTGCTTGATGCTCTATTTTATTTCTTACCCAAACAACAGCGCATAAACAGATGGTCACTTCAGCGACACAGTCAGAATTGACTCAAACCTCAGGATTCCCAGAGGAAAAAGCTCTTTGGTGCTGCCACTCTGGTCCCGAACTACTTCCACAGGGGCCTGAAGTCAAGTTTCCCCAAAAAAAAGAAGTTGAGCCCTGGTTGACTGCTGACTCCTCTTCTCCCTACTTGTCCCTTCCCAGGAAGGATGCAGGGCTGAAGAATGGTGTACCAGCTGTGGGCCTGAAGCTGAATGACCTTATCCAGCGGTTGCAGCTGTGCTACCAGCTCACCACAGTTGGCAAGTTTGAGGAGGCTGTGGAAAAATTCCGTTCCATCTTGCTCAGTGTGCCACTTCTTGTAGTGGACAATAAACAGGAGATTGCAGAGGTAGGCGGGGTCTAGCACCTGTCTGCCCAGCACCCCCACATTCCTGTCTATACCGTGACTGTCCTCTGCCCCCTGCAGGCCCAGCAGCTCATCACCATTTGCCGTGAGTACATTGTGGGCTTGTCCATGGAGATAGAGAGGAAGAAGCTGCCCAAAGAAACCCTGGAACAGCAGAAGCGCATCTGCGAGGTAAGCTCTGTGGAACTCTGAGCACAGCAGGGCCGACCTCCCCCTTGCCCTCTATTGGGTCTGATTCTTTTATGCCCAGCTCACATCTGACTCTGGGGAGCAAGAGAAACTTGGGTCTGTTTCTGTGAACACAGGCTATATTTCTGCACACTTCATTATCGTCTCATTAGTCCTTCATACATACAAGACAAAGGGCCTTTCTGTTCTGCAGCCCGTCCTGTTGGGTTTTGGTGTGGTTTGGCTTGGTCTGGTCTGGTCTGATTTGGTTTGGTTTGGGTTTGGTTTTTATGCAGCTATAGCAAGCAGCTTAAAAATAACCCATCCCAGCTGTAGCATCAGCCTAGCATTGTTCTTTCTGTCCACCAGATGGCAGCCTACTTCACCCACTCGAACCTGCAGCCCGTGCACATGATCCTGGTGTTGCGGACAGCCCTCAATCTCTTCTTCAAGCTCAAGAACTTCAAGACGGCTGCCACCTTTGCACGGCGTCTGCTAGAACTTGGACCTAAGCCTGAAGTGGCTCAGCAGGTAGATGGGAACTCCTTCAGTATCAGGGAACTAGGTCTGCTCCTATAAGGAAGGAGCATAAGGCCCAGGTCCTTGCCTCAGAAACGAAGCAGTGTAAAACAGCAGTCAGCAAGAAGGCCACCAGAACACCATCCTCTGTTTGCTTACTGCCCCGGATGCTTCCTTTTGTTCCTGGAAACTGAGCGGATGGCTTATTCAGACATGGCACTGGTGTAAGAGTGACCTGCAGCCCAGCATTGCTCCACTACACCTGAAGATAACCCATCCTGCTCTTGAGCTCCAGACATCCTCTACAACCACCACACACCTTCATATCCACAGCCCATTACTTGAGCCCTCCAAACATGTTCTTCTGGGGCATTGGGAGCCTGAGTTAACCTTCGTCAGGCTTGATCCTGATGATCCCCAGACGAGGAGAAGGAACATAAGTATAACATACACACCTCTTTGGGGAAAGCCTGGTATAACAGGAATGGCAATTGTTAATCTTTTACGTGTGTCCTGTGCCGAGGATGGTCTGTATTCATGTGGTGTAGTTACCTCGTGCGTCGTGGAAACTACAAACCATGGTGATGAGGTCATTTGAGTTAAGGTGTGCAGTTTTCCATCCTTTTAAATAAAGCACTTTTTTTTTTTTTGAGAGGTTTTTGCTATAGGGCGTGTGCGCTCGGCAGACAGACAGAGAGACAGAAAGCAAGAAATTACCCCCCAGGGAGGATGGCCACTCCACAATCCCTTCTCCTCCATTCTCCTCTCGGGAGTTTGGGCACAAACGCACACGCGCCCGGCGTGAGTTTAAGCCACTGGGTCCAGGACTCAAACTGCAGTTGACTACGTGGGAGTCCAGTGACATAGCCATTATGCTAACTGCTGGCCCCTTAAATAAAGCACTTTGAGGCCAGCCAGTGGTATGGTGATTAAAGTGGCTGGATCCCACATAGCCAAATTCAAGTCCTGGACATGGTGGCTTGAAAAACACACCAGGCACATGTGCAAGTATGCCCCAAATCCCAAAAGGAGAGTGGAGAAGAGATTGTGGTGTGGCCATCTCTCTTGGGGGGTGTTTTCTCACTTTCTCTCTCTCTAGTGAATACATATGACCTATAACAAATTAAAAAAAAAATAAACAAATAGAACTCTCTCTTCTTCTAGACCCGAAAAATCTTATCTGCCTGTGAGAAGAACCCCACGGATGCCTGCCAGCTCAATTATGACATGCACAACCCCTTTGACATCTGTGCAGCATCTTATCGGCCCATCTACCGTGGGAAACCAGTGGAGAAGTGTCCACTCAGCGGGGCCTGCTATTCCCCTGAGTTCAAGGGCCAGATCTGCAGGGTCACTACCGTAAGTACTGTCCTTGAGGACTGTATCTAGGATCCTACGAGGAAAGAGAGAAAAAAGAAGCTGGTAGTCTCCTTTCCCTTCTGCATTTGTTCCCAGCATCTTGAGGCAGTAATATTCAAAGCCAGAGCTCTGCCCCCTGCGCTTTACCCATCAGTAACGGCCACCCATCAGCCGTGCTCATTGACGGGTATAGGCTGTAAGCTTTCTGACGTTTTTCAGCCTCATAGACCTCTTACTTGTTCCTGTCTCTTTCTCCACAGGTGACAGAGATTGGCAAAGATGTCATCGGTCTAAGGATCAGTCCTCTGCAGTTTCGCTAAGGGCTCCTTTGTGTGTGTGGGTCAGTCACCACATTCTTCCCCAGAGGATTCGTCTCTATAGCCACCTCCTACCACCTCCTCCCCCAGCAGCTAAAAAATATTGATACTTGTTCATCCTGTCCAAAATCCTGCTGTCCCCTTCTCTTCTCTGGCAAGTCAATTGCCTGAACTTGGCTTTCTGATTGTGAGGACCTCTCGTCCTCTCAAGGTGACTGCAGTTTGTTGTCGAGTTGACTTTGCCTTTCCAGCTGAGATCTTTCAAGAAACAAAGGAAAACTCTGTAATGGACATGTGTTTAGTAAATTCCTTCTGTATTTCTCCCTCCCCTTCTAGAGACCACCTTTGCTTCCTTTCTGCCATGAGGGAGCACAGTGTAAGAAATGAGATATCCTGTTGACTCGGCCACATCAACCTTGGCCGTCTCTCATTTCCCTTGGACATAAACGCCCAGACAGGTCTCCATGGTGTTCCCAGAAACTTAAAGTCTGAGAAGAAATCATTTAGTTTTCCAAATGTGTACCACTTTTTATTGATTTGTCCTTTACAACCATTCTCATGTTTTGTTTCTCACACTAAATAAAGTCAGTTTCCTACCAGTTTCTTGGCCTGCCATTTATTTCAGGGACACTCCTGCTTCCCTCACGCAGCTGTCCCATCATGGCAGATAGCTTTCCTTCCATGGTGACTTTTCTTTTTTTTTTTTTAAAGAGATTTTTGCTATAGGGTGCATGCATTCGCTAGAGACAGAAAACAAGAAACCCCCCCCCTCCCCGGGAGGATGGCCATGCCACAATCCCTTCTCTGTTCTCCTGGGATCTTGGGCACACATGCACACACACCTGGCATGAATTTTAAACCATCAGTTCCGGGACTCAAACTGCAGTCGACTATGTGGGAGTCTAGTGACATAACCATTGTACCATCTGCTGGTCCCAGGTCTTTCTTTTATTTTAAGAGAGATTTTTTTTGCTGTAGGGCACAGGTACTCACCATAGAGACTGAGAGGGAGACAGAAGTGAAAAATCACACTCTAGGGGTGGGTGACCACATCATAACCCCTTCTTCAGTCTTCTCTTGGGATTTTGGGCACTCTTGTACACATGCCTGACGTGAGTTTTAAGCTGTCGGGTCTGGGACCCAAACTGTAGTCAACTACGTGGGAGTCCAGTGATGACTTTTAATTACAAATAAATACTAATTTGGGGAGGAAAAAAACACATATTTTTCATGGGTTATGTGTGAGTCAAAGACCAGAGCTACTATAAGAATGGAGTTGCTCTCTAGTTCCATTTTCAACTGCAACCCTCATCTATGGCTAATTATAGCCAGTAATTTTTTTTTTTTTTTTTGAGTTTTTTTTGCTATAGGGTGTGTGTGTTCGCCAGAGAGCCTCAGAAACAGTAAGCGAGACATCACTCCCCTTCCCCACCAGTGGGGATGGCCATGCCACAATCCCTTCTCCATTCTCCTGTTGGGATTTTGGATGTGCACACACATATGCCTAGCACCCGGGGTGAGTTTCAAGCTGCCGGGTCCAGGACTTAACCCACTGTTGAGCACATACTAGTCCAGCACCTTAACAACTATACCACCTGCTGGCCCCAATGGCCAGTATTAATTGAGCATCTTCCATGTGCTTGTCAATATTCTGGGTATCTTACATTTAGTAGTACATTATATATACTACAGTGATTACAATTGGCAATACACCGTTTTGCTTATTATCTGCCAAGAAAAACTGGGTTTATTGTGTCTTTGATTAAAATATGTAATTCTTTTTCATGTTAAGTTCATGTTTTCTTTTTTTTGAGAGGTTTTTGCTCTAGGGCATGTGTGCTCGCCAGAAAGATAGAGAAAGACAGAGAGAAAGTGAGAAATCACCTTCGAGGGGTGATGACCACGATGCAATCCCTTCTCCTCCATTCTCCTCTCAGGATCTTCCGCCTGGTGTGAGTTTAAGCCACCGGGTCCGGGACTCTAACTGCGGTTGACTACACGGAAGTTCAGCAACATAACCATTACAGTAACTGCTGTTCCCAAGTTCATGTTTTCAATAAGCAGTACATTCACATAGTTCAAAAATTAATAAATGTAAAAAGCTATCCTTAGAAAGTCTGTCTTCTCCCCCGTCTTCAGCCACCCAGTTCTGATGACCTCGCTCAACACAGTAACCACAATTACTAGCTTCCTTAGAGCCTTCTAGGCATTTTTCATGCGTATACAAGCAGGTGCAGATATATTCTTTCCCATCCCCCTTTCGTACACAAATGGAAGCATACTGTATTAACAATTCTGTACCTTTTTTTATCTAACAAATTTTAGAGATTTTTTTCCCCATATCACCATATTAGAGAGTTTCACTTTTTTGTTCTGCATAGCATACATTGTATAATTTACTGTAATTTATGAAGTTACCTCTCGTCGATGGATATTTGGGTTATTGCTACTATTTTGCAATTGTTAGTATAAACAATACTACAACAAATAACTTATACAGCATATGGATGAAGGAAATACGGAAAATAAGCTTCTACAAGTAGAATTCTTGTTTCTAAAGAGCACAAGTCTTTATCTTTTTAGCTTTAAGAGTTTTTCCTTTTATTTTTCCTTATTACTAGTGGACAGGTGTGCTCATGAGAGAGAGTAAGAAAGCGAACCCCTCCCCCACAATGGGGCAATCCTTCCTCTGTTTCTCCATCCTTTAGGATTTGAGGCACATGTGCATACATACTCAGTATGTGTTTTGTTTTTAAGATTTTTACTGTAGAACACATGTGCTTGTTGGAGAGAGACAGAGAGAGAAATTGAGAAATTACCTCCCCACCTAGGAGGGATGGCCAGTCTCTTCTCCATTCCCTTGGGATTTTGAGCATGCACTGCACTGGGAATCCAGTGACATAACCATTATGCCGTCTGCTGGGTCCCTCACCCGCATGTTTTTTAAGCTGCTGGGATCAGGATTGGAACCAGGGTTGGTTAGATGGGATCTAGCTTTCTATATGCACAAACTTAACCTCTGTGCTCTTCCTTCCCTTCCTAGCCTTCCCTCCTTTTCTCTCTCTACCTCCCTCCCTCTCTTCCGTCCTTCCTTTCTACAGAGAGAGAGAGACAAACAGGTACCCTCAACAGGGTCCCACAATCCTTCCTCAAGCCTCCCAGTGGTCAGGGTCACAGGTGCTTGTGGCACAGTCGTATCCGTGGTAACGCAGGATCTGAACCTGTGCCGCCCATGCACCTCCCGGCACTGAGCAGTGGTGCCCTGCTGTTTGCGCCATTGTGGCTAGGCTCAAGAGTTGTTAAACAGCATCTTAAACTAAGCCTGCCTTCTCAAAAGTTAGCATACTACCATAACATATCCTCAAGTTATAAACATTCTTTCTATGAACATAGGTAAATCAGTGATAAATTTTGGCCAAAAATATATTTATATACCTTGGGGCCAGGAGGTGACATGGTGGTTAAGGGTGCTGGATTCCCACATGGCTGATCACGGTCTGAATCCCAGACCTGGTGGCTTACTTGCTTGCTTGCTTTCCCTTTCTCTGGTCAAATTAAAATAATAATAATTATAATAAATGGAATAAAATGAATACTTTTTTAATCTTTTTTTTTTTGTAGAGGGTTGCTCTTTTTGTTTTGTTTTGTTTGTTTGTTTTGTTTTTTGCTATAGGGCGCATGTGCTCACCAGAAAAACAGAGACAGCAAGCAAGAAATAACACCCCCAGGGGGGATGACCACACCGCAATCCCTTCTCCTCTTGGGATCTTGGGCGGGCACACACGCACATGTGCCCGGCGTGAATTTAAGCCACTGGATCTGGAGCTCGAACCGCGGTCAACTACATGGGAGTTCAGCGACATAGCCATTACACTAACTGCTGGTCCCTTTAAAATATCTTTTTTTAAGTTGATAAAATACAAAACATACTGCACACCAACATAAACATATAAAACAGAGATTTATGGGACCAGCAGATAGCATAGTAGTTACGTCACTGGATTCCCACATGGCCTACCTCAGTTCTAGTTCCAAACATGGTGGCTTCAAAATTACACCAGGCATGTTTGTGTGCATGCCCAGGATCCCAGGAGGAGACTAGAGAAGGGACTGTGGCATGGCCATGCCTCCCTATCTCTCTGTCTCTCTCTCTGGTGAGCACACATGCCCTATATCACAAAAATTCTCTCAGGGCTGGCAGGTGGCATGGTGGTTGAGGGTGCTAGACTCCCACATGTCTGGCTGCAGTTCAAATTCCAGACCTGGTGGCTTGCTTTCTCACTTTCTCTCTGTCTCTCTGGTCAAATTATAAATAAATAAATAAAATAATTCTTTAAAAATAAATCCCTCTCTGAAAAGTAGATAATTCCTGCCTCTAGAAGCTTAAGTAGTTGGCAAAACAAGATAGATATTTGTGAAATAATTTTAAATACCAGGCAAAAATTTGAAGTCAGAAAATTACTGTGGAGTGCCATTAAGACTTTAAGTAGGAGAGTGATATGAAAAGAATGCTGTAAAATACTGTTATTTAATAGTATTTACTATTACAATGGTAAAAGGAGAAGCCAAGAGGTGATACATAGATGAATAGTTATGAATATCAGTAGTCAATAGAAAAGCTGAAACAAGTTTAAGAAATAATGCAAAGAAAGAATCATACTTGGTTTTGACTTTATCTTAATTCTATTCCCATCTTGTATTTTCTTTATTAACATGCTTTTATTTCCTTTTTTAAAAAAAGATTTATGTATTTAATTCTATTTGTTATTATTATTTTTTTATTTTGAACAGATAGAGAAAGGGAAAGTGAGAAAGCAAGCTTCCAGGTCTAGGACTTGAACTGTGGTCGGCCATGTGGGAGTCCAGCGCCTTTAGCCACCATGCCACCTGGCCGTCCCCTTAACATACTTTTATTGCTGCAATAATGTGAAGCCAATAGAAATACTTGCAGATAGACAAATTCTATATTTTCGTATGTGCTCAATATAATAACAACAGTCATGTTAGAGACATGTATGTAAGCAGGTTAGAGTTGAATGAGAAAGTTAGCTGGAATCAATTGTTACAGAAGTTGGAGAGAAGAATTTAATGAGGGGTTAGATTATAGTTTAGAATTGAAAAGGATCTTAGAAAGTGATTTAGTAACAGAGTTGGGACTGGATCTTAGGCTTTCAGACTCCCAGTTCTGAATCTCCTGTTCCCAAACACAACTCTCGCATTTTAAAGAAAACATGGATTTTTGCACAGATGTGATTCGACAAGACTGTGCCCTCCCTGTGAAGGAAAGTAGGTGCCTGATCTGGTGCTTGATGCGGTACTCAAGTGCATTTAGAAAGCTATGAACCAAAGTGATGATGTAATTCATCATTTCTTTTTAAAGAAGTGTTTGCCTTAGAGTGCATGCGGTTGCGGGGTGGGGGGTGTGGAGACAGAGAGAGTGAAAGGGAATGTGAGGGACCAGCAGTTGGCGTAATGGCTATGTCGTAGTGGACCACGGTACAAGTTCCGGACCCGGTGGCTTAAACTCACATCGGGCGTGTGTGCGTTTGTGCCCAAAATCCCGAGAGGAGAATGGAGGTGAAGGGATTGTGGCATGGCCATTCCCCCTGGGGGGTGATTTCTCACTTTCTGTCTCTCTGTCTGTCTCTGTCTTTCTGGTGAGCACATGCACCCTATAGCAAAAATCTCTCTAAAAAAAAGGGGGGGGGAATATGAGAAATCACTCTTCGGGAACCAGCAGTTAGCGTAATGGCTATGTCGCTGGACTCCCATGTAGTCGACTGCGGTTCGCGTCCCGGACCCGGTGGCTTAAAACTCACGCTGGGCGTGTGTGTGTGCGTGCCCAAGATCCCGAGAGGAGAATGGAGGAGAAGGGCTTGCGGCGTGACCATCCCCCCTGGGGGGGGATTTCTTGCTTTCTGTCTCTATGTCTTTCTCTGTCTGTCTGGCGAGCGCACACACCCTATAGCGATAAACCTCTCAAAAAAAAAAAAACACTCCTAGGGGAGGGATGGCCACACGACAATCCCTTCTCCATTCTCCTCCCAGATCTTGAGCGTGCACTACGCTCGCATGCACATGTGCCTGACCTGATTTTGAAGCCACTGGGTCCAGAACTTGAATCATGGTCAGTTATGTGGGAGTTCAGTAATATAACTGCTACACCATCTGCTGGCCTTGTGACTCATAATTTTTAAAATTTATATATGATTTCTCTCTTTTAACCATTATGGTACTTTAATCCTCACTTCCCTTGAGACTCTGAACTTGTATCGTACTTTATGTATATCTAATCCTAACGCTAGCCCATCTGTAGTCAGCTGCTTTACAGAAAGGGCTGGTCCTGATTTCTTAGGACATAAAATCTTTTTTAACTGTTAGAGGGTACGTGAGCTTGCCAGAAAGAGGGAAGCAAAGAGAGAGAGAAAGCACCAGCCAATGGAATATGTCACGCCACAATCTTTTCTCCATTTTTCCATCCTGTTGGGATTTGGGGCATGTGTGTACACATGCCTGGTGTTTTGTTTGAGTTTTGTTTTTAAAGAATTATTTAACTTTATTTATTTATTTTTATTTGACCAGAGAGGGACAGAGTGTGTGTGACAGAGAGGAAAAGTGAGAAAGCAAGCCACCAGGTCTGGGACTTGAACCACAGTTGGCCATGCTGGAGTCCAGCATCCTTAACCACCACACCACCTGCTGGTCCCACCTGGTGTTTTTTTTTTTTTTTTTTCTTTTTTTTGTTTCTTTTATTTTTTTTTTTTATTTGTTCATTCATTTATTTTAATTTGACCAGAGAGAGAGAGGGACAGTGAGAAAGCAAGCTGCCAGGTCTGGGACTCGAACCATAGTGAGCCATGTGGGAGTGTCCATCACCTCAACCACGATGCCAACTGCTAGTCCCGCACCTGTTGTGTTTTTGAAGCCTCAGGGGCTGGCATTCAAATTGTGGTCAACCATGTGGGATCTTTCCCCCTTAACCACTAGGTTCAACCCAGGATAAGATCTTAAACAACAGTAGGTGGTAAATACTAATCTGTGTCTGAGGCAGTTGCTACATTCTGACAGATCTGAGTAGAACAATTTCAAAGGAAGGGAGGGATGTCTAGAGTTGTCTGAAATTCCCCCATCTTCTCTAGATGGGAAGTTGTTTCTGTGTGGAGAAGAGGAGATTGATGAGAATACAGGTCTATTCCTACTACATTTGAATTGCCCTTTTGCTCAGTCCAAGGTCCCAGAGGGGATATTTTTCTGTCCCATATTGAGTTCCAAGTTCTAGTCCCTGCGTCCTTTAGTCTGACAGTTCTAATGGAGAATAGGAGATGAAAGACAGCCTCTAGTTCTGGTGAAGGAACTTGCCTGAGTGATCTAGGAGACCAGGCCAGCAGGGTGCCATGGTGGCTAAGGCTCTGGATTCCCACATGGCCAACCACAGTTCAAGTCTTGGACTTAGCTGCTTGAAAATCATACCAGGTGTGTTAGTGTGCATGCTCAAAAATCTGAAGAGGAGAATGGAAAAGGATTGTGGTGTGGCCATCCCCCATGGCGGGGTGATATCTCACTTTTCTTCTCTCTGTCTGTCTCCAGCAATCCTATGGCACGCACCCTATGGCAAAAAACTAGATATGCATTATATGTGTATAGTTTATGTATTTACATATAAAAAGAGTGAAGAGTGAGCAATGTGCCTGTTTTAAGCCCTATCCTCGGAGCAGGGGATACAGCAGTGAAGACAACAGGAAGACTTTCTCCCCTTCACAGAGAGTGAGGGTAGGGGAATTACGGACCATACATTTAACAAGGTAATTATATATAGTATGTCAGAGTCCAGTATTAGGGAGAAAATTTTTTAAATGATAGACTGTGTCTGCGTACGTGTGGCTACAGGAGGGGTTGCCATTTTATTTAGCGAGGCCAAAGAAAGCGTTTAGAAGACGACATTGCGGTGAAATAGTAAAGAAAGTGAGGAGGAGATGGTATATTATGCACCGTAATTGTCTTCTGGCTTATACATGCACAGATTCTGGTTATTTTGTCCCAATCTGGCCTACCCACAGCTCTGGAAGAACAATGAAATAGGTATCGTGAGAAATTGGGTAAAAGGAGTCCAGACAAGCAGAACCCAGACAGAAGTCTCTGAGTTCTCTCAGCTCAACGGTTCCAGGCGAACGGGAATGAAAGAAAACCCACCCAAAGCTCCCTGTCCCTTTAAAAATGGCGGCGCCTCACTGGTCGACGACGCCATTGGTTATGCCTAGCAGAAGGGGCGGGATCAGGGCGGGGCGCCGTGGAGTCCCGCCCCCTACGGCAAGTCGGAGGGAGCAAGATGGCCACCGCCGGGGAGGACTGTAGTGCTGGGGCCGAAGCGGACCGGGAATTAGAGGAGCTTCTGGAAAGTAAGAGTCCTTATGGAAAAGATCCGACGGATGCGGGTGTGAGGACCGACTCAGGGCGATAAGTGAACCTGCGACATTCGGGGCGGAACGGGGGAGGCTGTCCACAGGTTGGACGGGGGCGGAGGGTCTAACCGCGGAGCTGAAGAACATCCCTGGGTCGCTCCGTCCTTCCTCCGCCGCCAGAGCTGCGAGCTCTCCACCGGCCCCTGAGCGGTGGGAAGCAGTTGCGGATAGAACAAGCTTTTACGTTCTCCCGCTTAACTCCCCTTGCTTTAGATGAGAGGGTTTTTAAAGGCTCTCTTTTGGGCTAGTAGTAGTAGTAGCCTTTACTCCTTGGTGGGCAGCGAGCTGGGCACTTAAGGATTGCTTATGTTAATTCTTAGCAAGCTCGTCGCGCTCCCTTCTTTGCTTTTGCCTTATTCTATTCTCCTTAGTGCAAAAAGCACGTCTTTTCTTCTCCCAGCCTTTCCCCCTTTCTCTGACCAGACCCCTTGCTGTTCTTTCATGATGTTGGTATCTCAAGCAGACTCCTTCCCCACTATTTTGAGAAATCACGGGTGAGGCCATCAGGGGAGGACGGTGGAGGTTCTTTTCTTTCTGTGCCTTGTCTTCCATTCTTCTGTTGGTCTTCTAACCAGAGGGAGTCAGTGCCCTTTCCCTAGGCCTGGCAAGCGAAGTTAAGATGACAACACAGTCCTTTCAGGGCAGAGGTGAATTTTTTAATCTCTTGCCCAGGCACAGAGACCTAGGCATTAGAACTGGGACAGTGAGGAGTGCCAAGTGACCCTGAGTTAGCACACAGTTGTTTGCAGAGATTAGGCCAGAGGGAGCTCTGAGAGCGCTCAGCGAGAGCTAAGTTGGAGGACACGTTTTAAATGTCCTCCCATGGAGTACAGTATGGAGTCTCTCCTTTTGTACTAGTACCAAGACCAACAGGGAGCTGGGTGGGCTATCTTGTGCTTTCTCAAGGAGATTATTCCCTTAGGACTCCAGAGTGAGTTCAGGGGGTAAGGACAGGTTGTTCTCTGCTCCTATCAGGTAATTGCTATGGGGTTTCTAGGGGATTATTAGAGTGTGGTGAGGGAGGCACTGTGTAGGTGGAGACGTCTCTTCAGAACTTCTTTTAACCTTTTCTTCCCAGCTCTGAGATGGACATTTGTCCCACCTTAAGGGATTTTATCCTTTTGATCACAATTCATTAGGTAATCTGGAGGGAAGTGGGTGGCATATCGATGGATGGGCTGGGAGGGGAGACTCAAAACCAAGAAAATTAGAGTTGGCAATTCAAAAAATTGCTTTCCTAATGCTTTGCCCGGAAACCACCCAGCATTGCATCCGCATCTATCCCCAACGCACACACCATGTCTCTTGTCTCTGAAGGTGCTCTTGATGATTTCGATAAGGCCAAACCCTCCCCAGCACCCCCTCCTACCACCACGGCCCCTGATGCTTCAGGGCCCCAGAAGAGATCGCCAGGAGACACTGCCAAAGTATAAATGCCACCCCCTTTAAGGGCGGGGGAGGGGATGGGCATGCAGCTCTGAGCAGAGGTGGGGCAGGCCCCTGTGGGCCAGAGGGGAGGGCGAGGGAGGGCACCTTGGCCTCACATTGCTGAGTGCTCTTGTAGGCCTCAGTCCTTGTGAAATAGGGGCTCGAAGTTGAGAAGCAGGATCTCAAGAAGTTCCTTGAGAAAAGAACAGGTTTAAATGATTGGATTGGTATGCCTCCCGATACCCTTCTCTAGTGGCTAGATTCCTTACTTGCTGTCCTTTTTAGAAGAAGCAGTTAGAATGTCCAGAGGAGGTGGGTGGGAAAGAGATGCTACATCTCCCAGGCTCTGCTTGTGGCTTCTGTCAGAGGCCAGGTGCAGTACTGTGCTGAGTAAGAAGCACCTTTGGCCACTCCTTCTGTGCAGGATGCCCTCTTCGCCTCCCAAGAGAAGTTTTTCCAGGAATTATTTGACAGCGAGCTGGCTTCCCAAGCTACTGCCGAGTTCGAGAAGGCAATGAAGGAGTTGGCTGAGGAAGAGCCCCACCTGGTGGAGCAGTTCCAGAAGCTCTCAGAGGCTGCAGGGAGAGTGGGTGAGGAGAGACCTCTTATGTCTTTGTTGCTTGAGAATATACCAGAACCCACGGCAAGTCAATTGCAATAATGATGTCGCCTCCATGGGGTGGGGTGGAGGAGGGATGGGAACCTGCTTAATAAAAGGGGAAAGATTGGTTGGCAGGTAATAGAAAGGAGTATGCAAAAATGACTGTAAGGTCACAGTGCTATTGTGGGTGTTATTGTGAAGAGTAAACTGACATAATCCGTGCAGGGTTATGAGACGACTATGAAGATAACCATAAAGTATTCAAAGATGAGGAGTGATAACGAGTCCCCAGTAAATGCTTTGTATCCAAACTGCTCACAAGGTCAGTCTAGGTAAGCAAACAGGTGAAAACCTAAATGACCCAGCTCTTTTGATCTCTCCTAGGCAGTGATGCGACCTCCCAACAAGAATTCACTTCTTGCCTAAAGGAGACACTAAGTGGACTAGCTAAAAATGCCACTGACCTTCAGGTGAGTAGGTGACCAGGAGGAGCCCACTCCCAGACATGTCACCAGCAGAGTCCCAAAAGACACTCATGGGTATCATCCCGAGTGTGCCCCTGCTCCACTCTGTGACAGGCAAGTTTAGGTAGTTCTTCCCCTTCTCCATCAGGCAGTGTACCTGCTCACTCTCTCTTCTCGCCTAGAACTCAGGCATGTCGGAAGAGGAGCTGACCAAGGCCATGGAAGGGCTGGGCATGGACGAAGGGGACGGCGAAGGGAACATCCTCCCCATCATGCAGAGCATCATGCAGAACCTGCTGTCCAAGGACGTGCTGTACCCGTCCCTGAAGGAGATCACGGAGAAGGTTCGCGAACTCGCTCTGTCATCTCACCTCATGGGGGTGGAGATAGCAGCTCCAGTGCACAGCGCCTTTTGGATCTTCTCCTTTATTTATTTGGGGTGGGAAAGAG